CATCCATTCACGGGTGTAGATCCAAAAGGGATCAACCAAAAATGTCATTTCCAGTGCATCAAACGCACTTTGGTAATCAATAAATTATGTATTTCAATTCAGGATCATAGTGCACTGACTTCTTGTATGTGTTTTCGGACTGCGTCAATGTCTTGTGGGTGGATTGGACGTGGACGTTGCTTGACTGGAGTTGGATCTGAAAGTTTTATTTCATGTTTGACTTTGTTTGTGCATCCAAAATCCAGTTCATGCCTTGCGAAGACCTCGGGCATACTGTCCAACATAGATGTTACTCGTTTCCATTCATATGTGAGTGGGGAATCTCCAAAGTTGTAGTTCAGTTTGGTCTGGACTGGTTCTGTAGTGTTGATTTGCTGCAAGACACTTTGCTCTTTGCACAGGACAGAATGAATGGCACTGATCTCAGCCAAGGGTGCTCTGGTGGGAAGTACAATATCTTGTTCTGTTTGGTTGGTCACAATTACTGGAAGAATAAGTGGTTGTGATGGCGGAAGGTCGACCAGGCGGGATTTGACAATCAAGCCTCCAGGAAGAGAGAACGACGTTGGGTGCTGAATAATCACCTCTCTTTCTCCTTGCAGAAAGGGGGCCACAGCAAAACCATCGATAGCAATAGTCCGTCTTGCTGGGATAATTTGTGGCAATGTGGACTGTGATATGAGGATGGCGTGGTAGTCGTCAGCCGCTAGCTTCCACCGGATATCCAGGATCTTAAGCACTGTTCGATATCCAAAGTGTTCTGCTTGGAAAAGCATGTCGCAAGTTTGCCGGTGGTGGTCATATAGAACGTCCAAAGCGTTTGTACCGATCAAGATGGGTGGCTGGGATGTTCGGGTGTCGGGTACGACCAGGGCAAGGGTGTTGAGACTTGTGGCTTCGCCTATGAACTCGGCGGGAAAAGTCATGCCCAGCTCCACATAGCCCAAATAGGGAACACTCTGGCCATTTGCACCTTCAACTTCCAGAAGATTATGGAGGGGCTTTATCTCATGGTCTTGTAGATGAGTGCTGTAAAAAGTGTGCGAGACTGTGGTTACTTGGGAACCAGTGTCAAAGAGGCACGGGAAATCAGTGTCATTGATTTGTATTTGGCCAGTACTTCTGGTACCAATGAGACCTTTTGGGATCACAGGATGCGTGGAAATCTTTGGTTGGGGACAGGCGTCAATTGCAGCTCCCACTTGTCCCTCTGTGGAAACTGCCTTTAGTTTGACCGTTTGGAGTCCCATGTTCTCTGCTTCTCACGCAGTTGGCGTCGCTTGTCTTCCACCAACTTGGGATTTGCAGGGTTCGTACAGTTGGGTACAATGTGACCATCGTCGCCACACTTAAAACAGAACCATGGCTTTGGCTTGTGTACATTGGGCGGTTGTCTGGAGGATGGTTTCTGTTCAGGTCTCGTCTTGTAACTGGTCTTGGAAAGAAGTGTGTTCATTTGTTGCTGTAGCTTCATCATCTGCTTGCGCAGGTCTTCAATGGCATTGTCTGGAGGATGGCCACAGGAACAAGAGGTGGTATGTGTTTGGACTGTAGCTCTTTGCTTGGCTGCTGGCAGATGTTTCTTCATGAGTGTCTCTTTTGCAGCTTGTCTGTCTTCCTCTGTCCTTAACATAAACAACAGCTCTGCAAATGACGGTGGATGACCTTTCAGCTGTTCAAGTTGAAGTTTGTTAATAACGTCATTGTTCCAACAGCCTCTGCAGAATTGGTTAAGCAGGTACTTGTTTGTGTCGGTTGCTGGTATTCCGCCACGTTTTACCACAGTGCTGAGTGTGAGTTGAAGCCTCTGCAGATACGTGGATGGTCGCTCTCCATGGTCCTGAAGTGTGTTCAGGAATTGAGCAAACAGTTCCTCACCGTCCTGTACTGTAGCGTATGCAGAATCGAGCACATGCAAGAAGGCAGAAGGCAAGGAATCTGGGCCGAGGTTCTTCACAAAGTCAGCAGCTGGGGACAACAAACTCTCAATAATACGACGTGTTATATGTATTGGTGACAACCCGGGATCCGCACTCAATAAGTCTATGTGAGACCTCCATGAATCGTAGTCGGACTCGTGCACCGGCTTTGGACTTTTGCCGGAAAAAGTGCGAAGGCGGAGAGACGGCAAGGATTGCATGATTACGTCGTCTTTGCGTACTATATGTTCAACCACCACCCTCTGGACTGCTGGTGGGTTCAAATCATTGGCTGACAGGGAAATTCTCGGGCTCTGGGTTGGACGGCCATCATGGTCAAATGAGGGCGGAAACACTGGGATCTGGTCTGTGAGCATATGTTGTTTTGAAGATGGTCTGAACTCCGGGAAGGTTTTTGGTCTGACTACCGGCTCCTCGAGTTCTTCCTCTTCATCATCTTCTTTCATGGTAACTGGCCCAAGATGAATGCTGATCTGATCCATCAGTCCTTTTTGTACTACTTCGAATGGTTGACCGCTACTCTCTGCGAGTTTCCTGATCTCTCTGAGGTAATCAGGGGGTTGGGCCGACTCCGCTGTACCTGTGGCGGAGCACTCACTCGCACCCGAAAGTGAACGAACAACAAAAACAACATCTGCGCCACTACGCGAAGGATAAGTGTATGGTAGCAAAGGTTCTAGAGATACTAACGCTGCCTTGTTAATAAATTCAACGATCCGGTTTTTGTATAACGCACTGTCTCTGTCTGTAACAGTAAACGTGGTTTTTATTTCACCATAACTACGTAATTGTTGAATAATCTCATCGTCGGATTGGGTGTTAGTTACACCGGAAATGACGACAGAATGAGCAACATTCACGTCGGCTTTGGGAAACAAATCCATTTTTAAAAACACTCTTTTTGTCCTTTAAACAAATAAATCACACACCTTCAACAAACCACAATGCACCAGGCTCCTGGCTAGCTCGCCACGCTGTAACAACAGGTTGTTTAGGCCAGATGTGACTGCGATTCAACTCTGAGTACTATTCAAAAGACTGGTTCGGGAAGGAGCCTGGGTTGTGAGGTGTAGAGTGAGTGATACAAAACAACTGATTGAGTTTTGAGTTTGGTATTGTATTAAAAGGAGAAAGTAAATAACACAAAATTGTACAGAATAACAATATAACAATACTGACAGCCACAACCTCGCTGATAACGATACTGTTCTCACGATTCACACGCTCTGGGTTAGAGTCCGTGCTCCCATTCAAAGGGAGAGAAGAGAAGAAACCAAAATAGTCCACGATAGTCCAATATTGTCCGTTGGACGTAAAGGAAAAAAATTAATTGATAGTCTTTTATCCTACCAGGAGCCCATGGCAGGGACAGGGAGATATCAGGATGAGGTGTGGAAACAGCTCAGTACAAAAAACCGGACCTGACAAGAGGCCAGAAAAAGACAAATGAATATTAGGAAAATAAGAGTTAGCTATGTAATGCTCTTAATTGACTAAACTTAACTTCAATGTATCTATAAGATACAAGATATTTACAATCTAAAACTGCAGATTAAATCATCAAATTTCAAATCACATTCAATTAAATTAACATGTCAACATTTCATCAATAGAAAAGTCTCAGTATACACTAATGCTTAAACACTTCAATGAGAGTACTTCAATAAATATTTACATTTACATAGTCAATATTTCAAAAGATAGCTGCATACATTACATAATGTAGTACAATTAAATAATACACATACAAGTATGTGGAATCATCCATTCACGGGTGTAGATCCAAAAGGGATCAACCAAAAATGTCATTTCCAGTGCATCAAACGCACTTTGGTAATCAATAAATTATGTATTTCAATTCAGGATCATAGTGCACTAATAATAATTATCTTCTCTAAATGTTTCAGTTATCATGGGAACATAATTTGCATGATAACTAAGTGTTGCGCAACAAACTTTAGAGTCTCTGACGTAGCTACAATAATCAGGTGTTGTCAATCCGGACATCACTGGGGATTTGCGGTTATTTACAAACAAAAGTGTCTAACCGGTATTAACAAACACTCACTGCGGTAAACAAAGATATTTATCTACACATTAACTTACTGCCTACAATTCGGGTTGGCTTGTTTATGAATAAAGTAAACAGCGTACCTTGAATTGCGTGGGCTTTGACGCTACTCCACACGCGCCCACATGGAAGCGTGGAGTCTACAAAGAGTTTGCAGAGATTAGCGACTGATCATGCGGTTTGCAACATGGACATTTAATTTGCATGATGCCGAACAGTTGGCAAAAGGCTCACCTTTATGATAGAGGGAAAAACGCTCCGATAACAAAGTTGTGCAGCTTTGTAACGCTAGCCCGCAGCTATGACATGCCACAGGTACAGCGGAGGAGAGCGTCAAGTGGGGGAGCGCGCATCATAAGGGAAACCATCAGATGTGGCGGAAGCTGACCCGCAACAATAAAACTAAACTGAAATGCGGGTTACACACACACCAACTGACGTCACACACCAACTGACGTCACACACAAACCAACTAACGTCACACACACCAACTGACGTCACACACACACCAACTAACGTCACACACACCAACTGACGTCACATACACCAACTGACGTCACACACACCAACTGACGTCACACACCAACTGACGTCACACACACCAACTGACGTCACACACACACCAACAGACGTCACACAGTATTTCAGAGTCAATGGAGAGGCCAGGACCAAATTCAAATGTAGTACCACTGAAAAGGTAGAGAGGGCGCCACACAGATGGTTTTAGGTTCGAAAATGAGATTTGATCTAATTTGCACTAAAATGTCAAACCAGGATATGTAGAGAGCACTACAATAAACATATTTATGCAGTTTATGAGTTAAAAAAAGTTGTTTTGGTGTTTAGTCGCTCTTTAAAGTCTTTTCTCTGAGCCATAGAAATCCCAGTATCCGAGCTTTAACTATATATGAATATATTTAGTTTCATGTTATATTGAAAGTTTGGCCACAGACACAGAGAGTCCCACACATGTCTCCGCTGTCTTCCAGAGAAGCGCCTGTCCCGGGGCATCTCCCACGCCAGCTCGGCCATCGTGTCCCTGGCCCGCCTGCAGGTGGCGTCGGAGTGCACCAGTGAGCAGTTCCCTCTGGAGATGCCCATCTACACCTTCCAGCTCCCGGACCTCAGCGTCTACAGCGAGGACTTCCGCAGCTTCATCGAGAGGGACCTCATCGAGCAGTCCACCATGATGGCCCTGGAGCAAGCAGGTGGGCCTGGGTCGTACCTGTGCTCAGCTGTGATACATGGGCCTGGGTCGTACCTGTGCTCAGCTGTGATACATGGGCCTGGGTCGTACCTGTGCTCAGCTGTGATACATGGGCCTGGGTCGTACCTGTGCTCAGCTGTGATACATGGGCCTGGGTCATACCTGTGCTCAGCTGTGATACATGGGCCTGGGTTGTACCTGTGCTCAGCGGTGGCCTGGGTCGTACCTGTGCTCAGCTGTGATACATGGGCCTGGGTCGTATCTGTGCTCAGCTGTGATACATGGGCCTGGGTCGTACCTGTGCTCAGCTGTGATACATGGGCCTGGGTCGTACCTGTGCTCAGCTGTGATACATGGGCCTGGGTTGTACCTGTGCTCAGCGGTGGCCTGGGTCGTACCTGTGCTCAGCTGTGATACATGGGCCTGGGTCGTATCTGTGCTCAGCTGTGATACATGGGCCTGGGTCGTACCTGTGCTCAGCTGTGATACATGGGCCTGGGTCGTACCTGTGCTCAGCTGTGATACATGGGCCTGGGTCGTACCTGTGCTCAGCTGTGATACATGGGCCTGGGTCATACCTGTACTCAGCTGTGATACATGGGCCTGGGTCGTACCTGTGCTCAGCTGTGATACATGGGCCTGGGTTGTACCTGTGCTCAGCTGTGATACATGGGCCTGGGTCGTAGCTGTGCTCAGCTGTGATACATGGGCCTGGGTTGTACCTGTGCTCAGCGGTGGCCTGGGTCGTACCTGTGCATCAGCTGTGATACATGGGCCTGGGTCGTACCTTTGCTCAGCTGCGGCCTGGGTCATACCTGTGATACATGGGCCTGGGTCGTACCTGTGCTCAGCTGTGATACATGGGCCTGGGTCGTACCTGTGCTCAGCTGTGATAAATGGGCCCGGGTCGTACCTGTGCTCAGCTGTGGCCTGGGTCGTACCTGTGCTCAGCTGTGCTCACGTACAAGCTATAAATCCAGGACTCAGACTGTACAACGAGCACTGAACCACAGAGCACACTATCAAACACAATACATACGTTTTTCAAGGATTTCTTGTTTTTCAGAAGCTATAACATTAAAAAAGTTATTTTTCTTCTTTTACCCAGAATGCCTTGCTCATTGCTCTCGTCTTCCCTTTGCTTCTAACAGGACGTTTGAACTGGTGGTCCACGATGTGCATGAGCTGCAAGAAGCTGCTTCCTCTGGCCACGACCGGAGACGGGAACTGCCTCCTGCACGCCGCCTCTCTGGGTAACACACACATTACTCATTATTTATATATACGTATGATTTATTATTATTATTAATGTATTTATTCATTTCAATTGTAGACAAAGTAATTCTGAAGTCTTTTCACGCAAATGAAATGGAGCAGAAAGAACGTTTCTTTTCTTTATATAGGCAGTGTAAGGCAAGGCAAGTTTATTTGTATAGCACAATTCATACACAAGGCAACTCAAAGTGCTGAACAAGATAAGAAAGCATTAAAATCATAAATAATCACAGAACATTAAAAAGAAAGATACAAATATAAAATCCCTCAGTTGTAGCACAGCTAAACAGAACTGTCTTTAACTTGGTTTTAAACATTGTCAGAGAGGAGGCCTGTCTCACATCTTCAGGAAGACTGTTCCAGATTTTAGCAGCATGAATCTGAAAAGCAGCCTCCCCATGTTTAGTCCTGACTCTGTAGTTATTTTCTACATGTGGATGTTTGCGGAACTTTTTATTTTATTTTGGACTGCGCAGGGATGTGGGGGTTCCACGACAGAGACCTGATGCTGAGGAAGTCTCTCTACACCATGATGAAGAGCGGAGCGGAGAGAGACGCCCTGAAGAGGAGGTGGCGTTGGCAGCAGACGCAGCAGAACAAAGAGGTGACGCACAAACCAACAACTCACGCACTACACACCGTTTTTATTGTTTTTAATTTCTTCATTTTGTAGTTACACAACAAATATATATCAACTAACAACAATCGATGAATATCATTTTCTATTGGTGCTGGTCAGTTTATTTAAAAGGGTCAAAAGAATGAACTGTCTTTTATAAAACTGGTTCACAGCAGATTACAGCTTCATTATTAAACTTGATGGTTTTAAAACATTGATAGAAACGTGCATAAAACTGTCAGGGATGAAGCAGACAGAGACGGATCGTGGTGCGCCAAACTCTGGAAGTTTATTTAAGTTTCTCTCAAGTTCCAGTGGTTTCCATTGTTTCTTTCTCTCAGACAGAATAAAGGCAGTACACAGTTTATATAGTCATTGTCACGTCACACATCGAAAGACGTACGTGTCACAAAGTGACAGTCACATCATAGTCAAAATATGGAGTCATCTTCAGAGTCCTTGTACAGTCCTGCACGTAGGCCATATTGCTATCTAATACTAACAACACTTTTTGCATATATTGATAATGCTGTTTCAGCTGCAGTTGAACCTGATGAAATCTCACACAACAAAGAGACAAAGTTAATCTTTTACTTGTTACATTGTCACAAGGAGAATGTCTTGACAGAGGCAAGGCACAGACCCAGCCTCTCTCAGGACAAGTCTGAAGATTCACAGTCTGCAAGCCCCTTTTGGTAGAACAAGACACACCTTCGTATGCCGATGGGAAAGGAAGAAACCAACACAACAAAAGACACTCCGTATTAGCGTATACAAAGACTGCTTCCTTTGGTGTTTAACATATGAGCTCCCCAGACCTCCCGGTGTCTTGCTGGAGCTAAAGTGGATTACAATACAGAGCATTCAGCACATAGCCACATATGATTTACCAAAATGATAACTTAAGTTACATTCCAATATCACATATATTTTCAGCGCGCTCGTCGACAAGTGTCTCACAAACTGGACTCTTGGCTCATATCGCTCTGAAATGTTCTGCTGGCAATAGCAGATGTATTTTGAACACCAAACCCCAAAAGCTGTATGTCATTTTGAAGCTTATTTTCTTATCTACATTTATATACTGTACAAGTGTCAACTACATCAAAAGTTTTTACCTTTGGGCTTGTTCTACATAAATAAATCAGATCTCCTCCCAGCTTCCTATGCCTCTTTCACTCCGCAAAAGTCAATGGAAAAAGAATATCCAGTTGTATTTCCCAAAGTATAATCCATTCTGCAGAAATAATCCAAAAATGTGCATTTCTTTTTAGCGAAAAAAAAAAAAGTGAAACAGCACAGACGCTGCTCTGTCACTGTTAGCGGAGATTCAGCCTCGTCTTTCACCCACACACAGGGTGTGCTTGTGTTCTTCACCTCGTTAGCTACAAAATGACACTATTCCCGAAGAGATTCATGCTCGATTTCGTTCGCAGCGTCTCTGTGAATAAAACAAGCGACTCCCATTTGCGCACGGTCACTTTGTGTTTGTTGTTAGGCAGGCAGCTACAGGACTGGCCTTTTGCCGAATGATTGACATGTCCGTGTAGCCAATAAGGAAAGCTTTCTAGTGATGGGTGGGACTTGAGTGAACTCTGTTAAAATCTGCCTCTGGAGCTGTGCGTAAAGACAGGGGAGACACGCATATCACCACTAAAAAATGAAATTTAAATTTTTGTTTTTAAAATCACACAGATTTGTAACTTATTAAGTACCAAAAATAAAATAATATGTTTTTTATGGTGCTCTGTGGACTGGGTGGCATCTCTGGCCACCCCACCGACCCAGAAATGGATTAAGGGGAAGAAAATGGATGGATGGATGTTTTTTATGATGATGAAGAGTCAGTAACGCCAAAGTTCATTTACAGTGATGTCGTTCATGACACATAATGAGAACTACTCTTTACGTTCAAGTTCTTTATTAAAAAATGTGTTGCGTTCATTTCAACGTTCTTTTGAACTCGTTCACGCACAACACTGACTATTCATTGTTTTAGTCAAAGTTTATTTTAAAATGTAACGCTGCCGTTACCCAGTTTTTGATTCATACATTACTCACAACACGGCCTTTGTCCCGCAACATTTCAGTTTGAGGCATATACTGTATATATACTTTTACACATACACACACATATACATATATATACATACACACACATATACATATATACACACACATATACATATATACACATACATATACACATATAAACATACATATATACACATACATATACACATATACACACACATACATATACAGATATACACATACATATATACACATACATATACACATATACACATACATATACACATACATACACACATATACATATACACACATACATATACACACATATACATACACACATACATATACACATACATACACACATATACATATACACACATACATATACACACATATACATACACACATACATATACACATACATACACACATATACATATACACACATACATATACACACATATACACACACACACATACATATACACATATACACACACATATACATTGTAGGTAATAATAATGTTATTGTAACTTATTGTAGTATAAATTTGGTAGTGTGGATCGGCGGGTCTCCGGTTTAGAGGCTCGCCGTTGCACACAAGTGAGGATTTGCTTTTATTTTTAGGGCACCAGCAGAGTTAAACTTCTGCACAGATCCAACTACTTTGCCTCAAGTCAGTCTTATAATCTAATAGGTAGTGAATGCGTATATCGGCCAGTGATATCCGAGACTTAAAAACACGACGCTTAAATTATTGAGTTAAAGTTTAACGTGAATTTATTGACTACAA